GCTATTAACCCCGATCGCATGACCATAAGTTCTTCAAAGGTCATTCCAAAGAAGAAGTCTCCCTCAGCAGGACCAGTCACGAAAGAGGGGGAAAACTCATCATCAGCCGCGAGTTCTGATTCTCAGCAGCCTAGCACAAGTTCGGCCTCAGATGAATCACCACCGAAGTCGCAGCAAGTCCCACAAAAGACAAAAGGGAAAGCACCCAAGCGCAAAAGAAAGGAGCCAAATGACCAAGATGAAGACCCCTACATGAAGGGAATATGTGACATGTGGCATCTTTCCATGGAAAAGCAAGACGAACGCTTCAACCGCAGCATGGAACTTCAGCAGGCTGCTATACAAAGCCAGACAGAGCAGACCAAGGCTCTTGTGTCAGGCCTAAAAGACATTTTAAAAGACTGTTTAAAAAGTGACTAAAAAGATGTTGCGTGCGTTGACGATTAATTTGAACATTTAAATGATCTGTTGTTGTTAACTAGCTGGCTTCGCAGAAGCTTCATTTTTTATTTGTGTTATGAATAAGAGAGTAACAGGCATTTAATCTTTTTGAGCATTTTATTGATTATAACACAGCTTCTGGGAAAATTTTAAAAAATCAAGCTCAATAAATGCGCGTTTTATAAAGAAAAACATTGTCTCGCTATTGAATTACAGTGCGTCCTATGGTGCGATGAGGAAGGTGGCTGAATTAAAGTACACCCTGAGAAAGTAGATAATCTAGCATAGTTTGGCGTGCAGCTGATCCGTCTTGTGCTTCATCATCTTCGTCTGCGTCATTTGATCGTCTGGTGGTGGGCGATCGTCGTCATCATCAATTGAATCCCCTTGCATTATACAAAAATTATGTAAAACACATGCTGCTGTCACGCTTCGCGGTACGGAAGTGTGACTTTGTTCAATCTTTTTCAGTAAAAGCCTCCAACGTCCTTTCAACAAGCCGAACGTCCTCTCGATCACTGATCTCATTGCACTTAATTTTTCATTTAAGCGTCTTTTCTGAGGCGAAAGGTGCCCNATTATATTATATTATATTATATTATATTATATTATATTATATTATATTATATTATATTATATTATATTATGTTATGTTATGTTATGTTATATTATATTATATTTGTTTTTTGTATTTTTTTTTTCAAATAAAATGAATTTAGCTGTTGTTCTGATGATGCAGAAGTCGAACGTTCCGAGCCATGTTCACGATTCCGGCATTGTAACGGATGGTCGGACTTTTGACATCGCTGGACCGGAGGGCTTATTACTACACGGCCGGGGCTTTTTCTTGAAGCCTAAATGTCTGTGAGAAATAGGGAAAAATAACAACATAGTCATCCCAGTCGATCCCAGAGGTCGAATCTCTCAACGGCCACATTGGAACACCGCAAAAACGTAAACAAAACAAAACGTGAAAACCAAGTTGACAAAATTTCTTTTGTATTGAAGCTGTCAACGAATGTCTGCTTGAGTGAGCGTTCATATAGGCTCGATTTCCGCCGCTTTCTCGAGTCCGGTCTACGTTCCTTCTCAGTTCGGGGGAGGAGCGCGGGTTCCTTTCCCGAACAGCGGCTGGTAATCGAGCTTAGCGTTCATACATTTTACTAAGAATAGTAGTAAGTTTGTTTGTGGACCCTTGTGGCTTCTTGAACGAAGTTTGCTTAATCTCGTGGGAATGAAGAACTGGCTAAATCATTCTCAGCTGGTAACACTTCGTACATTGATACAGTGTAGTTGACTCTTCAGTCACCAGTAGCTTGAACATGGCGTGATCGTGCACTAAACACATGTAGCACTTTAGATTTTGCGAGCAGACCGGATCAAGTTCCGCGACCTTTCATCGACGGAACATGTGTCACCGAAAGGTCAACACGTTTGAAGACATGCAACACAAGTACGATTGGGACTTTTCACTGGCATATCCAACGTAAGTTGCGTGGTTTGTTTTCGTTCATTTTTATTTTTGTTGGCTTACGTAGTGTCACGTTTTTTTCTTATGATCTTCCTCACCGATTTCCCAAAATATCTGTTAGGTTTACATCAAACCAGCTCTGCGATCTTGGCCAGGCCCACGCTCTTCTACCTATGTGTCGAAAATTACCTCGTCTTCGGTGAACACTCAAAAGTACGGCGGTCAGAAAAAGCAGGCTTTGTGTTTTTTTGGATAAAATCTTCCATCATTCATTCATCATCCCCGAAGGAACATAAAATTTTGTAAAGTTATTTGACTGACCAACCTATGTAAATGTAACAAACAGACAACAGTCGCAATTACAGCGATTTCACATCTTCTCGGTCTCATTTTGATCTCAGTCTCGTCGCTAAAATCGTGATCGTGACTACCTTAAAAAAAATTTAAGACATTACTTTAAGACATTACCGTATCTGTGATTGTTATCGCTAATGATGGCAGTTTTGCACGGAAAGAATTTGTCTTCTTTATATATGTCTGAACGCTTAAGCAGACTTAGGATGACTTAGCTTGACAGACTTAGTGTTTAGTGTGAACCCAACAATTAAGTCGTTGTTTTGGAGATGCTATTTTGGCAGTTGAGATGTGCTTTAGAGTCCGTTACTATTTTGTGTTGGTGGCAGTTGTAGAGAGGTCATCTGTAGAGTGTTCGATCCCCGGGACAACTAAGAAAAGTGGCAGTTAGTAGAGGTTCAATTGTAAAAAAATGAATGATTAGGACATTAGCCTGGAAAGTCAATTCCACGCCCTCCCCCCAAAAAAGGAGTCAGTTTCAATCAATTGCACACTTTGCAAGAAGATATGGAAATTAAAAGACCCAGAAGACATGTCAGTGTACTTGACTATTGTCTGGTTATGTTACTTCTGGTGTCACGGGCACATCACAGACACAACCTTCACGTGTTCCACCGATGTGGCCGTCACAAGGGTTTGACTGACTGACTGTCATGGGGTTTTGACCGTCAAGAGTTTAAAAGTCCAGTCTCGCCACTCTCAAGAAACAGTTGTGTAATATGGCGGGCGTTGCAGTTTTCTTGGTGTTTTGTCTAATTCCAACATCTTCAACTGCATCTCCTGGATTACTTTCCAAAAACTACGCTCAGATCGCACAGCACTTTGGCTTTCCATTTCCGAAGCTTCCAAATGTTACTTTCGCGAATGTCGGCAAGCAGTGCAAAGAAACTGTGGAGAAGCTCAGCACAAGTGAACTAGTCCTTTGTGAGTATTTTCTAGTTTATTCTTCTGTACATGTGACATTAAAATTAGGTTAGCGCGGACGTTATAATCTTTATTTTCTTTTATAATATAGACAGGACCCTGCACGCGCTTTGATTGGTCAAAAACCCATGTTTTGTCCGAGTATAAAACAAAGAAACAGCGTGTTTTATTGTTTTGCGCGTGAAAAATTGTCATAAAGCAAATGAAGAATCCTCAGCCATGTATTACACTGTGATAAAACACTCTGGACATTTGAGAACACTCGAGAAATGTAGAAAACACTCGCCTACGGTTCGTGTTTTCTACATTTTCCTCGTGTTCTCAAATGCCGGTCGTGTTTTATCACAGTGTAATACACGGCTTAGGCTCCTTTATTTGTCAATTATAAGAAAGTTTCCATATAACGCGTGCCCTGATTGGCTGAAACAGCGCGCTTTATCAGAGAACAGAACACGGGTTGATGGCGGTAAGCCGGCTTTCAAATTTTTGCCTCGGAATTTTGACAAATTTGACCCAAATTTTCACATCCCCTGTGTCTCAGACAAACGCAATGGAAACGAGCTATTTGTCTGGCTTAAATATGGCTCACGGAGACCATTGTTAGCAACAGCAGTGTTAAAACTGTAGTAAAACACGAAGCGCTCCTATATAACGAGGCTGAGGTGTTCAGCCTGCCCATCACAAATCCCAACAGACGACCAATGCTCCCATTTGATTGGCTTATTCACTCAGGTCTAATTTTAGCGCGTTGCCACAAAATTCTGGAGAGCGACGGGAGTCATTTTCTGTTTTATTTTACAAGTAAGCAATGCCTTTTGAACTAAATGAACGATAGCTTCAGGAGAAGAGTTTGACTCTTTTAATTTCAACTTCATAATTTTCTCGCGAAAGCCTATCGTATGAATTCGAGCTGTTCACTCAAATTTATGAAATGCCTTGTCTAGTTCTTTTGATGCCAGAGTGTTTTTGCTCCTTCGAGGATTAACGCAGTTGAGAAATAAGTCTGGAAACTAAACTCGTAAAAAAAAAAAAACAGATACAAGCAGACCGCGAGGTAATATATCATATCTACGGTAATATGGTTATTCTTCACCCAGTTATCTAAAAGAGATCCCGTAAGGTGAAGATTGACTGCTGTTGTATTCTTGCTACTAAAATTCAGTCGGCCTTTTACGAACGCAAAAAATGTTTTTGTTTCTGTTGCATTCAGTCATGAGTTTTCCTTCTCTTTTCTAACGTCAATATTCCAATATTCCGAAATCTCACTTTGCCATTTTTCAAGTTCGCCTGTTTCTTCGTAGTACTTTTTATTTCCAATTTCTTTGCTCTGAATATAGAACAGTTTGAGGAAAACCCCAGCCTTGTTTAATTTGCATTTTGTTTGCACCATCATAACGCTCGTAAATCTGAATAATTTTAAATATCCAACGAAAATCCATCTGTGTTCACAGGCTAACCAAAATCACCTCTTACGAGATTTATTTTCGTTCTCGGCATGCTGAGATAAATGAGATAGCCCGTTGATCGCAGGCATCAGCTTTGTTATTTTAGCGGCGAAATTTGAATGTTCCGTGAAGTGACGAAGATAATCCATCGTTTTTGTTCTTCCAAAGGCATGAAAGAGTTAATATAAGTTTTATTTTCACTGTATTTTTATTATTTACCTTACATTACTTTACGTAAATGACTCCGTTGTTTTAAAGAAAAGAAAACGCTATTTCTCCACGACTTCTATGTTATGAGACTGTTACTTCGGCTTTCCACCATTACACGAAAAAGCCAACAAAGTGCCCCAGAGGGGGGCGTGTCCTTGCCTTTTATAGGATCGCTCCGTGTTAAAATAACAAGTTTTGCTAGATTCCCGCCGACAGAACACATAGCGAAATAAACAAATTCTCAACCTAACAATACGTCGATAAAAGACATTATATTTGATACGAAGGTAGAAATTATACTTAAGAAGTAAAACAACGACAGAAAACAACAATTGAGCTGTCTCTGTTTATGATAAGAAGCTTTATTTTTGTAAAAATGCTCGATTGCTCAAGCAACACTTACATGCAGCGTAGTAATGCTCGGCTCGTGCTCTGGTCATCTCAGCGAAGTGAACCGACGAGTGGTCAGTTCAAATCTTGCTCTGAAATTCTCTTCTGTGCCCGGAGTAGAACCATTGGGAGCAGTTCAGTCTTTCTAACTTTTACGCTAGTTCGGGCAATCTTGCTGCAAGCGGCTGCAAGCCGTAAATAACTGTAGCTCCTTTCAAATTCAACTCAGCATTTCGCAGTTTCATCCGCAAGCTTTGAGCTCCTTGTTTCGTAATTTTTATAGGCAAAGTGCGCGTTTTCGTGAGCCACAATACGGCCGGATTCCTCTGGACTACAAACCTACGGTGTTGCTTTGAAACCAACTTTTGTGTTGAGTTTTAATTAAAGCCGATCAGTTCAAGTCTGGCGTACGTATGCGTTTGAGATTTTGGGCACAAAAAGCGTTAAAAAAAGCTTGAAAAGTTGCCAAATTGTTGAATGCTTACATTTTGCGTTGTTTTACGGTGTAACAAAAAGTTTGAAAAGTTGCCAAATCTGGGAATTTCGGAGCGGTCCGTACTCGGGGTCCGGATGAGAAAACCCGGACCGCTGAAGCGCGCGTGATTAGCTAATCAGACTCAAGGATTTGGGATTCCGGACCGCTAAGAAGTTGGAGAGAAAAAAAAATAAAAAATAAAAATAAACTGTATTTACAAGCGGATTTAAATCTTCAACTACGACTTCTCTTTCGGAGATAAGGTAATCTTTCGTCAAATTAGTGTTGCTTGATCTCCACAGTGGATTACATTTATTGTACATTAAACCTGGTCTGGCAAAGACATGGTCTAATGTCTAATCTTGATTAACATTTCTTCAGATCTGGATGCTATTGGTAAACCTCAAAGTGGACTTCGTCTAGGACATGTTGGCTGGTTTGGATCCTACAGTCAGTGCACTAAGTTTATGGTTGATGCTCATTATTGCTTGGCTTTTTTCGCAGTTTCTGCTCTTGATGTCAGTCAGGTTAGTAATGAATGAACTGTTATTGGTTTTCGTTATAATTGAACCGAATTACTATTTTCGTATTTGAGCATTTTTTACAATGGGTTACTCATTGCCCGCAGATGAGTGGTATGTTATCAGTCTAAGTTGAGCGTTTTTTGTTCATGATCATGTTAGTTATATTTCTAATGAAAGTTCCTCTTTACTGACAACTTGTTTGGATTACATAATGTAGAATAACGAGTCACCACTACCACTGATTATTTTCGTGCGTTAGCAGTTCAACAACACATGATACGAAATGCCAAAGAAGCAATAATTGGTGACAGATACAAACAATTATTAATTTCATCTCAAACTGCTACAATGGCAGTAATGTTAATTGATCATATGAACAGTACGGCCTCGCGCGCTAGCTTTTCCTTGGAAACGATAAGAATAAAGGTCCCGTATGAGGGCCGCACCCGCCCTGCAAAATCGATGTGAGTTAATGCAAAACACTTTTGTTGCTAAAAAAAATGTTTTCTTTAAAATGAGTGATGAAAGTGAACATTCTGACGACTTCTTTTTACTATCCTGGTATCCGATGCCGGACTACTTCAATTGCCAACTTAACCCGAAAGCATAGAAAGAAGGTCAGCACCCCTCACAAACGTGGAAGTTCACAAGGAACTGGTCATATGATAGAATGGTCATTGACTGAGTGAGGGCCACAGCGCTCGGTCCGTACCTCCTGACCTCGAGCGAAATATTTTCCTTCCGGCCCTCCCACTCGGTCAAGTACATACATGTAGTACTTTCTTGCGTGTAGCAAGTACCAAACTTAAAATCTGATTTATGAACTAGGCGAAGGACAAGGAAATAATTGTAGAAAACCATTTGTTGCTTGTGACTTGCCCTTGTGACTAGTGACTTGCCTGTGGCGATATCAAGCAACTTGAAGCGTTTGTGACTAAGCAAAATCGCCAAGACTATTTTGTAACTGTGAAACAACTCTCTCGTTTGAGACAGTGAAATAGGTGTCTGAAGAAAAAAAAAGACGACCTCTATATCAGAGGTCCTCTTTTTGTGTGTTTCTCCAAACATTTCACTAGAACCAAAATTAGACATTGGTAACGAGAAAGAACTGCAATTCGAGACATTTCAACAACCTGCTGTTTTTGGCAATACATTACGCAAACCACTTGCATGACTCGCGTGACTGCTTTCCAATCCGGCAGATTCATAGATTCTATTTAGTGTGAAATTGATTTCTTGTGGTCCCATTTAAGTTTATTATTACATTCTAAAAGAAATATTTACAAGGCAGTTGGAACAAAATTTCTCTAGACATGTAGAATAGGAAATTAATGACCGTGTTCATTGGAGATATTTAAGTTCAGGCAAATGGAAGGAACAATTTGGTAAAAATTACAAACATGATAAATATAAAAATGTTACACTTGGTGAGAAAAGCTATTAAAAATCTTAAAAAAACCCAACGTTTCGGCTATTAAGAGAAGCCTTCTTCGGGGGTAATAAATAATATAATGAAGGGACAAGTTTATTTATGATCACGTAGTTGCAAGCATGTTACAAGCATGTTAGGAAATAACCAAAATTCTTCTGCTGCTGGGCTGTACTTATGCACGCTTTAGACTTCAGTGGGACTTGCATGACCCCTTGTCCAAATGTTTTGCTGTGCTACGTAATGCCTTTCGTGCCAAAAAAGGCGGCCTTAGCGTGTTGAAACTGGCGAACTAATTATGAGCTCTTTGAGCTTCTAGTCTTATATTGCAATGCAAAAACGTTGTGAATGGTTTGTCATCAGGACACAATAATTAAGTTTGCAAACAGTAGAATCCTGACTTTTCCGACCATTGCAGTATTGCTATGCTCGTATCAATTGTTAGTGCACTGGACGCTAGATTGGCAGGTCTCAAGCTAAGGAGTAGCCTACAACTTCCGACTGACATTAATTCCATCCACGAGCTTAGTTATAGACTGCTTGTCACTTCATATGACATAAACCAGTAGCCGATCTAGGGGAGGGGCCCGGGAAACTCGGGCCCCCCTTAAAACAAAAAATCGCAGAAGGAAAAAAAGCCGACACGGCAAGCAAACCTCCCCCTCCCCCACCCCCACCCCCTTAGCTCAAGGTCTGGATCCGCCACTGTAAACTAAGGTTATTCAGGCTTTTCTACTTCCAGGATTAGAACTACTGCACATGTGACTATCTCGCGATATTTTAAAGTCTTTTTAAGTCTTCTTTCAAACCGGAGGAAATTCGAAATAAAAGTTTTCCAAGGTAGAAAAGCACCAAAAAGAACTATTAAGACGGATTGAAAATGACAAACTTGGAAAAAGGCTGTGTCGTCTGCGACCCAACTTCTTTATTCTTTTGACCATTTTGTTTTGATTGTTTCTTTTTTTTCCACAGGATTATCCCATTCTTTGGGGGATCTGTGCACCTAAACAGTGCAGTGAAGAGGATGTGACCAACGCTGTACAAGATATCTTCTCAGGTACATTTATATCTGCGCAGAAATTGACGTGGATGATCGAAGCTGGAACTTGCTTATGAAACTGATAAGGCAAACTCCTTGGAAATATATACATCTGCAGGAGCCCAGATATATCTCATTTGCCGGCCTGGAGGTCTGGGAGATCCGCACAATGAAAAACTGTGACTGAGGTCTTGAAAGCATTTTCAAGTCCAATATCACAGTTTTTCACTGTAAGGACCGACCCCAAGCCGGTAAATGATATTTATTTCCTCTCTCTCAAATCACGTTTATAATTGTGCACCTTTTCCACACAGACATCCCGCGCGTGTTACCGTGACCGGCCAGAGACAGCAAAATTCGAAATCTTATGTTTATTCCGCTACGAAAAGTGTACTTGGAGTAAAGAATACTTGTCAACGTCTTTGTTTAAACCAAGCTCGAGTGAAATAAAACAGACTTCAAAATTAGAAGGGTTTCGACGGCCTTTTTTTTTGACACTTCGGCAGCATACGAGCTGAGTTTGATGGAGCCATGGTTCGTCAACGACACTAAACGAGCTCGATATACCGCCGAAACAAACCAAAAAGGTGTGATTAAGTATTTACCGTGCCCACATTTGAGAGCATGATATTGTAACAATATCAGGTCAGTGACTTGATATCGCAGGATATCAGAACAGTAGACACGGCTTCTGATTGGCTTAGCGCGAATTTGGTAACCAGGGCAAAACAGATACCTCACGTTTTTCGTTATAGTTTGCCGTTTTTGGAATCCTTGCCTGTTTACCAGGGTGCATGGTAATGATGGAACGAAAATTTTGCTTTTTTATTTAACTGAATGTTATGCTGAGGAATATCAATTTTAATTTTTTCACTTCTCCAGAGTCGATACGTTTTCTAAATGGTGTCCTCTGTTCAGTGACTTTATTTTCGCAAATTACCGCAGCTGATCTGCCCCCGTTCTACTCTGTTGTCTTGTCTACTTTATTTTGCTTGTTCTTAGCACAAAAGTGATATCTTTGCACGTCAATTTCCTTCGTCACGAAAGTTTTCCTTCTCATTGACATAAATTTAACTTTACTAATAATTGTCACTTCTATTTGTTTGAACTTAAAACTCCTGATATACAGACGTTCATTAATTTCCTATGCTAAGGTATTTGTTTAACAATCTACTCTATGTCTGGCCTGTTGCATTCATCTCTACCAGGAGTTAATCAAGAATTTGATAGCACAGTGTTCAAGCTAATCCCACACACATTCGATGATGCTGCCTCTAAACCTGTTTTCTGTAACAAGAAGTCAGAGTACACAACCGGAGTAATCACGACTTTGTAAGTACAGAACTTAAAACTTCCTTGCAAAGTATCTGGCCAATGTTTATAAATGGTCCTACGTGCATGTGTATTTATTAAATTCCACACATGAGAGGTTATTTTCACATACATCACGCAAGCAAGCAGCAAGACTTGTGTTACAGCGAATCTAACTTTGCGGACTGAATCGCAGAAATTACGGAAAATCGTGCGATTTCTGAGAATAAAATAGTTATGATTTACATCGACATCGTAGTGTTAGGCCAGTGTTGTTGTGTGAAGAACATCGTTTTTTCTCATGACCTTTCATGAATTCGACGAGATGGCATGAAAAAGCACAGGCATCCCAAACTCACGATTAGAGAAATCCATCAAATATTAATGATTTATGTAAGCGTATCGAGTGGGACGTGACTACCTAAAGTACCCAATGTTGTGTTGCACTTCAGGTCGCTGAGAATTTGAGCGGTCTACAAGTCATTGTATGGAGTTTAACATGACGAAGGATAAAACGCGCAACAATATAAAATGTTACCTTTTGAATAAAACAACGAAGCTATACTCAACTTCCCTGGTTTGTGTTGTTCAATTGGCATATTTCATCGTTTTGTTTTGCTTTGTTTCTTTCTTTTTTTTTTGCTGCTACAAACACCTCAAAGTACCAGAAACTGTGTTCTTTAACCACGGTTGAAAGTTTGCCGGGGAACAATTTACCACTTTGCACGTGATTGACAGTTTGAACTCACTAGAGCCTCACGATCTCACGGTCAGTCAAATAACAAGGTAGAATGAGCTGTCAAAACAACCACGAATCAAAACATTAAGTTAAGAGCAGTGGGCAAGATGTCGGGAAAGCAATCCTGGATTGGTGAAACACCCTAAAAGGGGGCATGGGTAACAGCCTCGCGCAACACGTACATTACATGCTTTGCTGCGTACACACGTGATTACTGTGACCACAACTACAAACAGGTGTAGCAGAGAAAATCAAGCTACTGCATCAGAAAACAAAACTTTTAAATGATAGTGGTTCGAGGGAGTTGCTAGACTTGGGTAGCCTGTGCGAGTATACCCATCATCGTCTTAAGAGAGAACAAATGGCAACTGGGTACATGTTTGCAACAAACCGCCCTGTGGTCCTACGTTGTCCATGTCGGCCGGGACGATTACCCCTGGAATTGTAAGTTCCTTACAACCATCCTCAATCGATGTTACGAGATTTGCTGTGTCCCGCCCTAGGTCATTATGAAATGATTAAGACGAAATCTGATAGAAAATCGAGCAATTTCAGGTATGCACAAGAATCTGGTACCAGAATAGTTTTCAGTATTTTACAGTCATTTTTACATTTTCTTAAAGGTAAATACATGAATAATTGCCTGAAATAACACCGAAAACAATTTCCCATGGGAACGAGAGAAAATGAATTTCAAAGTTCAGAGAACTTGTGCAAACACAGGCAAAATTTCATCATCAGTTTCATTTCACCAGTACTTTCAAGTGTTTCGTACGAAGTTCAACATTCATTTTCGACGTTTTGTGTTGCTAAAATTGACTTTTTTTTGAGAAGATATTTAAAACAGTCGTACAGAAGTTTGCAATACGATGTAAATAATCTTGGTACTTGGTTTTTGTCCACTCGTTACTCGAACTTCTGGTGGATTCCGTCTTAATTACATGTTTGTCACAAACCACCCTGTGGTCTTACATTGTCGATGTCGGCGAGTACGAATACCGCTGGAATTGTAAGTTCCTTACAACCATCCTCAAACGATGTTACGAGATTTGCTGTATCCCTCCCTAGGTCCTTATGAAAGGATAAATTACATTCCAACGTTGTTGAGTTGCGTTCAAAAATACCGTGCCAATGACGAAATTTCTACATTTACTTGTAAACAATGTTTAAAGGAATACTTTTAAACCCGTCATATTCATTGTATTGTCAATTTGTACAGGGTCTTGTGTGGTGTAATCCTGTACCTATGCCTTGTTGGGACGATTGTCGACATTGCTGTTAGCTTTGCAAAGTCGAACTCCTCACCTCTCAACGCAAACGACGAATTCATGTCAATCAGAGGTGTTTCCACAGCGACAGACCAGAGTATTCCTGATGCTGAAAGAATAAGTTTACTCCGGCCCTCCCCTGAGGTCAATCTTAAAGAATGTACAAGCCATCAACAGGAACCAGTTTTACCAAGTGAGTATGCCATGGAGTTGAGCCATCTTTCATTGGTTCGGCTCTACTGAATCAAGTCATGCTCTGAGGGTTCTGAATATTAGGCATTTTAGAATTTAAGCCCAGGCTGACAAATTTGCTGAGGGAGATTGTCATCTCCAGTTAAATGGAAGGAACAATTCATTTATGTAATACTGATAACATTACCGTTTCGTTTGTTTTGACACAGATGTGGTAGTACGCTTCTTCTTGTGTTTCTCCTTAATTCAAAACACAAACCGTATTATGGATACCAAGGTGCCACCCAGCGTCATCTCTTCAATCAATGGTATGAGAGTGCTAAGCATGTGGTGGGTCATCCTGGGACATACCTACGATTTTTCACGAAGGATACCCGTCACGATCAGTGAGTACTCAGGGCTATCAGCAAATTATGCTAACAGGATTCTAAACCATCAAACTAATGCAAAAAATGTGTACAAAAGACATCCTCAGGAGGATCATTACAAACACTGAAATTTTGCTTTAGAAATTGATTGCCTTTCAAAGTCATTGGGTAAGTGTCTGGCAAGTGTCTTGGAACCCTGGTTGAAATCTTTCGTAGTATTTTCATGGGGTCACTTGCCTCACCTATGCGCCCTCAGCTTCCCCTACACGAAATTAACAATGGAAAGGTTTAACAGATTTATGTTAAGGTCTTTTAGTATGTCGTCATAGACCCTTTTCAGAAATGGCTGCCAATTATAAATTCTTTTGTAAGTATTAAAATTAGCCTGACTAACCTCGTTTTTGAGTTGATAATTCAAAAGAATTTTTACTCCCAAACGAGTTTAGTGAGGCTAATTTAAATGCACATAAAAGAATTTTAAATTGGCAGCCATTTATGAAAAGGGTCTATATTTTGTCCAGCTGGCGAGAATATTGACATCTGGAGGCCACGTTTTCGATCAGGAACTAGCACTTCGCTTACTTGAGGTTCCTTTCCGAATATTCTAACCCCAATGGTCCTCCGTCTTGCGGACTTCGCAATAAAAAGGTGAACGACGTAATTGATCGTGTGATTCTACAATATTGACTTGGATGTGAGCTTATTAATATAAAGCGCTCTCCAAAAGTATGAAATGTATTTGTGCTCTCCAAATGCGTCACGTTTCCGTCTGTTGAGAAGGCAAAAGTTTATAACACCAAAACAATTCCTTTCGAACAGAATGTCTATTTAATAAGCGATACATGCGGCTGAACTAATCATATTTTCACACGGAAGACGAGAAAGTCCATTTTTTTAAAACTTGTCCGCAGTGTTTTGCAGCGCGGCTTTGTTTGACATGTATTCAGGGAGACCTTTGATTCAGACCTTCTTGCAACCCGAAGGACGACACTGCTTCAACTTTGCGTGGATTTAGTGATCCTGGAAGTTCTGTGACCCCTGTTTTTCTTTCAGTAAATCACTTTCCCTACCATTTTGCGAAAAAAAGGAGAAAAATTATAGATTAGAAGTCTTAATTTTTTACTCACGCACCATCAAGTTCCTCTCCTTTGAGCTCTTAGTTAAGCTGTATGACCTGTAAGTGAAGGTGCCTTTTGCTTAGTTTTTTTATATTGTTTCAGGCAATTTGCCGACGTTTTATGACATTATTCACCGTTTCACATTTCAAGCTGTTGGCAATGGAACCTATTCAGTTGACAGTTTCTTTTTCCTCAGGTAATTACTAGAACTGTTAAAAAGCTCAAAAACTTGTTTACAATTAAGTATTTTTGGTACCAGATCACCGATTGTTTCTCATTTTGTAGTTACCATGTTAGTCTTGTGATTCTAGGGCCCGACTGCCCCTCGCATCTGCAAGCAGGAATCTAACAGAACTGTTCTTTAGTTCGTGCTTAGATCTTTTTAACATTTAATCAAAAGACACAGTGTTTGTTTTTAAAAAACAGACAGATGTTGGACCGCTTAATAAGAATTGGATCACAATTTTATTACCTACAATTCTGCCAGTAAAACCAGTACAGGTAATTGTATAAATGTGAGTGCAATTAAGGATTACACTACGAGTGATATCTGGAAATCTCTCAAAATTGCACGAGCCTTGCGGCGAGTGCAATTTTAAATATTTTTCAGTTATCGCGAGTAGTGAAAATCCTTAATTGCTCGAGCCTTCTTTCAATTACTCATTTATTACTGTCAAACCCACGATAAAGCTCCTTCGGTTATAAGCCCCCCCCCGGATATAAGCCCTCCTATTTGCTGACAAAGATATTCTTCTGGACATATGGCCCCCCGAAATAAGCCCATCTAATGTATAAGTGCGTTCCTTTTGCGTTTTATAAATGTATTATAAATGTAATAGCTAAATGTAATGGTATGTTAGCTTTAATTCGTTTCTCAGAGACGTTTTATCTCGTCGTTCGGAAACATTCTTTACATTTCGCTTATATAACCCCCCGGATATAAGCCCCCCCGTTTAAAAGCCCGCCCAAAAACCCCCTATGAACTTATATAAGTCCAGGGCTTTAACGTGGGATTTCACGGTGTATGACTGAGAAAACTAGGAACTCACGCGCATTGTTTGGACTGAGTGGAAATTTAAAATTGACAAAAAAACATGTCTGCTCCTCGAAAATCTCAATGAAGTTATTTTCTCAGGCAAACAATATCTCTATAATTGGATGTTGATTTTGATGCTTTTGTATGAAACCGATTCTTGGTCTGCCAAAGTCGTCAATCCACTAACTTCCTACCCCATGTAATTTCTTTTATTATTTTAACGTTATCAACAGTGGTCTCTTAGTTGCTTATTTGTGGCTGCCTCATATGGAGAAGAAAAATGGAAAACTTCCACTCTTCAAGTACTATTTTCATCGTTTTTGGAGGTAAATTTTGCTTCAGTAAGCGATTTCAACAACAACAACAACAACAACAACAAGAATCTTTATTTGTACTCTCTCACAGTATAATACAAAATCTACAAAGATACCAACGATAAAAATCAGCTGCCTGGAATAACCATAGGGGCTAGCGGAACCAGGCAGCCAGTTGGCATCAGTGAAAATAAAGGAGGAAGAAAGAATTTTATTGCAAGTGCGGATTCAGAAAAAGCTTTGAAGGTTCTCAGAATAGATACATAACAGTATTTCTTCTTGCTTTTAGGCCCATCTCCACACTAATCCGGATACAGTTGAAAATGAAACGTTACCTCGAGCTCGAATGAATGGGATAACATGTGCACATTTAAGAAATTACTTGATGTATTAAAGTTCTTACTCCATTCTCCAGGAATAACGACTTCGTGAACAAAATTGTCCTCCCATCACGTGCCAGTCTACTGGATCTTGTCTAAAACGGTGTTCTCTGTTAATTCTCATCGATAACCCTGAATATAATATAACGCCAAACCGGGGAAAAAAGGATATGTTTTCAACTTTATCCGAATTAGCTTAATACAGGTTTTACCCTAGTCTGAGTTGATTATACCTGATTCAATTCAAAATAACTTCATACATCATTTTGTAAGCCCATATTTTTTATCATAAATCTGTCTCTGTTTGTAAACAGGTTAACTCCAACTTACATGTTTGTTTTGCTGTTTCTGGACAAGCTGTTAAGATTTCTTGGTGAGGGTCCTTTGTGGCATCCAGAGAAGTTCGCATACCAGTGCAGAAAATACTGGTGGACAAATCTATTGTACATCAACAATTTTTATCCAACTTCTTTTGATGCACAGGTGAGATTAACACTTATCTAAAATGAAAAACGAAGGTTGAATATTAATTCACGTAATACTTTTGAATAACCGTTGCTTGATTACAGGACATTAGGAACGATTAAACATACAAGAAAGACATGTGTTGGGAGCGAGAAGTTGAGGAACGATAAGAGGCATGGAATAATGTCGTGAGCTTGACGTCACAATTACAGCATGTCATGCAACAGATTGCTTAGACCGAAATTAACTTATATAAACTCATAAGAAAGGTGCAATAAAAACTCCGGGGCGATATGTTCGGACAGCACCACATGGCTTGTAAAAGGGAAACTTGTTTCTATTTCTAGTTACCTGACAATCTACTGCTATGAAAATTTATAGGGATGTCAAGGAAGAGATCAACGGTGGCTTAATCATGTGATGCAGATATTCTGCTTTATCGTGCAAACAATAAAGTTGATGCAGATGTATGGCTTATTGACCAAGCGCGAGGTCAAGATGCCGATATTGGCCAATTTCTTCCGTGCGTTTATGGCCTAAGACGAAGCAGAGGTCCATTAACAGGCCAAGAAAAAAAAGACCAATATCTAGCTATCTTGACCGAAGAAGCTTACTCAAGAATTTTTTATTGTAGAAAAAAAACACTGAAAAGAAGATTGGCTCGGGACACAGCGCATAATCCCAAGCGGGCAAGATAGCGCCATCTTGCCCTCTCGGGTAGCCAATCACAACGCATGATATGGTTCATCTTTCCCGTTCACTGAGCTAGCCATATAGAAAGTACTCTTCAAGGCTTAGATAGTTAATGTTCTTGAGTTAATGTTATCAAACTGAAAAAAACTATACCAGTAGTTTTTTTTTTAATTCTAAGTATGGATAAATATAGAAATTACTAAAAGACGAAAGGGCCTATTGTAGCAAGACAAAAGCTGGCGGAGGGGCTAAGAGGGCAGTTGGCACCGTCCCCCGTAGCAAATTGGAGCCTTTAGATTTCAAACTTTTTTGAGGATAGCATGCCCCCTCCCCCCTCTCACACACTTCCCAGAAACTCGCTTCATTTCGTCCCGTTACAAAAATTGTAGCTACGGTCTTGTGTAGTACAACTTATACTAACAACTTGTGTTTTACAAATAGGATATGATTTTATGTTCTCTCTACAGTGTATGGGCTGGACCTGGTACCTAGCTAATGACATGCAGTTCTACATCATTGCACCTGCTATCCTCTTCACAGCATACAGGTATAGGGAAGGGGGGGGGGGTGGGGTGGAAAGACGAAAAGGGAGCTCAGGGAGTACTCCAATATGAAAAGGTCGGCGATGCTCGTCGTCTCGCCTAAGGGTATAAATCAAGGATTCTGGTCTCACGTAGGGTTTTGGTGACGAATCGCCCCTATTTTTAGCTGTGAAAGTATGTTTAAAGGTGCACGCGAAAGAAATATTATTAAAAGAAATGCTCTGATTGGTCGATTTCTGGTAATATAGAGATTTATCCAAGCCTAAAAGCGGAGGCTGGGTTGTTCAAAGCCCGATTAAGCTTACCCAGGATAAGCGGCAATTTTGATTTGAGTTTTGAAACTTTGCAGTGAGATTTTCTGTAGACTCTTTGGTCTTCTGTTTTTAGTCTGAATAATCTCAAACTGCACAAAACAAAAGCAGTGAAAAACATTTGTATACAACAAAAATGTAGACTTCAGTTACTTTTAACCCTCGGTTAGCTTTAATGGGCTTCCGAAAAACCCGGCCCTGATAACGAAAAGTTAACTTGACATGAACCCGCGATCCAAGGTGACAAATTACTCCTCAATTTTGGCACAAAATTTCAACGTTAATCAAAACTATAACAAAATTCTCGAGCGTGATTGGCTATCAGCAGCCCGATTGGAGCATTAATTGGACAGCGTACGCGTCATGCTTGTAATTGGACAGTACGCGTCATTTTGCGCGCGCTGTTGCGGTGCACTTTGTTGAGTAAACTGCCGTGTTTTTNTAACAAATCGGACTCCCGCTTCGCGGTCGTCCGATTCTGTTAATCACTCGTATGATTACAGACCGAATTGGACTCCACTCAGTCCTATTACCGTTATTAATTTATAATTTCACATGTGAAATTACAAAATTGTTGTTGGCTCGAAATTTCTCGGTACGTGTAATTTGTCACCCATGTGGTTAAAAGGTAATCAAATAGTATACTCGACCTGTGAAATTAAGAAATAATTTCACTTGAGTTTTGTCAAAATTCAAACAATTAATTTTTTTCAATTGTTATAATTTTGACAAAACGTGCGTAAAATTATTTTCTAATCTGACTCGTGACCATTTGATTAGCCATACTGACTTGTGGTCATTTGAAGTGTTGTCTTTCTTTTGTGTGTATTATTTCAGCTTGGTCTTTGTTTCTAGGTTTCGCCTGCGAGGACTGCTTGNGAAGGGGGGAAGATGAAAGGGCAAAAAGGGAGCTCTGGGGGTACTCCAGTATGAAAAGGTCAGCGATGCTCGTCGTCTCGCGGGCCTCTCAAGTCCAGTCTACTAGCGTAGGCTCCTTTCCTGAATAGCAGCTGGTAATCGAGTCTATTCCGTTTTAAATGGTATTTTTAGGGGTGAAATAAGGCTTGAGCCACGCCCAAATTGGTCTCCTTTATGGGTTTAATTCAAATTTTAGGATGAGCGTCCTCGATCTTTTGATATGGGAGTCCCAGGTATTTGGGTAATCTGATTCGATTTCTGGTAATATAGAGATTTAGCCAAGCCTAAAAGCGTAGGCCGGGTTGTTCAAAGCCCGATTGAGCTTACCCAGGACAAGCGACAATTTTGATTTGAGTTTTGTAACTTTGCAGTGAGATTTTCCATAGACTCTTTGGCCTTCTGCTTTGAGTTTGAATAGTATCAAACTACAGAAAACAAAATCAGTGAAAAACATTTGTATACAAGAGAAATGTAGACTTCAGTTACTTTTAATCCTGGGTTAGCGTTAACGGGCTTCCAAAAAGCTCGGCCCTGATAACGTAAAGTTAACCTGACATGAGCCCACGATCCAAGGTGACAAATTACTCCTTCATTTTGGGCGCAAAATTTCAGTTTCTAATTTCACATGTGAAATTACAAAATTGGTGGTGGTACGAAATTTCTCGGTACATGTAATTCGTCACCCATGTGGTTAAATGGTAATCAAATAGTATACTCGTCCTGTGAAATTACGAAATAATTTCACTTGAGTCTTGTCAAAGTTCGAATAATTTAATTTTGTTTTTTTAAATTATTATAATTTTGACAAAACGTGCGTAAAATTATTTTCTAATTTGACTCGTGACCATTTGATTAGCCATACTGACTTGTGGTCATTTGAAGTGTTGTCTTTCTTTTGTGTGTATTATTTCAGCTTGGTCTTTGTTTCTAGGTTTCGCCTGCGAGGACTGCTTGTTATTGTTGGTGTGTTGATGAGTATCAGTTTTATCACAACAGCAATCCTTGTTGCTCATTATGACATCGCGCAACCGACAAATCTAGCAGAACAGTAAGATGCATTTTTCTACCCTTGTTAAGTTGTAAGTAAATAATACGTCTCGGAATAGTCTTGCCTTAAAACAGCCAATCAGGGCATGCGTTATATCAGCTACTCACACCAGCCATATAATAATTTGTTCATGGTGGCTGGTAACGGTTTTCATCATTTTTCAGCACTTCTGCTCTGATGGATCAATGCTAATTGTGTTTTTATTTAATGCTACAATGATGATATCAAATACCTGATCATTGGTGAACAAGTAATGGCCTGCAAAGGGTTACTAGACAACCGTGTAACCTTTTAACACACCCTTCAGTCGTGGATAAAATGTAAGAGCAGGGAATCAGAGCCACATTAAATTTGTGAAAATTTAAGGTGATTCTGCGTTTCCACAAAATTGTTCAATCTTACCATAAAGCTGCATTTGAATATGGTGATCACATTTCGGTAATAAAATCAAAGTGGCTATGAGCCTCTCAACTTGGAAAATGGATCATCTGTAAACAGTGGCAATTTTGACGCCACTGACTTGAGGTACAACAACAACAATAATCTTTAATTTTATTCATTTTAAAATTACATGTTATTTGGCCCGTGGATAGCGAGTGCTAATCTAGGCGGGCCGTTAATCGCTCATGCATATAACTAGATTAATTAAATAACAATAATAACAATTAATTTAAGAGTAAAGATGTAGTTAATATTATTATCGTTTCTCTATATTAAGGTTACTTCCCACCTTCAAGGGCACAAAAATTCGTTTTTTTCTTTTCATTGACAAAATTTAAGTCAGTCATTTTATCTGAAGTTTAAAAAAGAAAACTATTTAAAAATTTCAAAAAGCGGCCGAGTTATTTAGAAAAAACGTATTTTCAGATAAAGTTAATAAACCGGGAAGGTGTCATAATCGCTAAATGGACGAAACCACCAAGGGAAATTTTCGCGGCAAACGCTCATCTTGGAGCTCGTATTTCATGTTATTTGGTTTTGTTTATGTCGCTTATTTGTTCTTTTGCCTTTGGCTACTTTGCCCGTTTTAGTTTCTTTCTCTTCAATGCGATAGCGAGATGGAAAATGTGTTACAATGCGATGCTTTTCCCGGGAACTCATGATTCATTTTAATTGACGTTTGCGGTTTCGTAAAGCGAGATAATCTCCTGGCGTGGCACGAGTTGTTTACGAATCTTTACGAGCTAAAATCTCGCATTTGATTTTGGGAGGAATACCTCCACTTTGAGCGAATTTACAGGGAATGCAGATTTGACGGATTTTCGTGAAATTTCGCCAGAACATTTCAGGGATAATGGCAAACGAAAGTGTGTCGGGAAATTTTGATATTTAGCATATTTTTTCCGTGGCGTCCATTTACGCCACACGTCTTATACATTTTTAGCTACTCCAACTTTAGATGCGGATATCTAGACAACCAATCAGAATATCGAAAAAGCCCGACACAGTTTTGTTGATTGATGCCTTGTAAATAAGACTGTGCAGCCATTTTGCTCGTGTGGCGGCATTCCATAGCCAATAAATTCAATAGAAGACTCCTCGGTCGTTTCACGCCTTACTCGCTCCTGACGCTTCCTAAAAGAAAAACTCGCTTAAATTGTATTTTTATCGTAAACTACATTTATTAAGCTTTTTCTGATATAAGTTTGTTGGGGGTATTATTGAAACTGGAGCGCTTACGATTTTTTTTCCCGAAGGACACCCGCGAAGGTGGGAGGTAACCTTGAGACTACTAAAACAAATCAGGGGAGAATAATGAGAGAAGACATTGATTTCAACTACTTAAAAGATTTCAGTTTACGAATAATCTCGTGTATCTGAAAAAAGGCATTTTCTTTGCCTTGCATAGTAATTCATTTTTAATTCTAGCTTTAAAAGACTTTTTTGGTAGCTCTCTTAGATTATGTGGTATCTCTTTTCATAATCTGGCACCGATTCTTGAGAATGCGTTTTTTTGTAATTCAAGATTTGAGGCTTTTATGTAAACGTTACTGGAGGTAGAGGAACGGGTATTGTAAGAATGGACATCAGATGTTTTCATAAATAAACTATGCATTTTAATCGGCGCTGAGGCAGTATTGACATCATGCATTAATTCAGACAAGCTTTTATAATGTAAAGAGTGGCATTGTTAAGAAATAGTGCAAAACGCAACGGTAAGAGAATACGAGAGATGTG